TGGCAGCAAATGACATATGTTCAGTACATTCTGATACAGCCTCTGTACCTCTGCTGAAACAATTGGTGTATCTATCAAGACGATATATGTAAATGCATACATCCGTGAAAGAAGGAATGAAAGTTATCCTTTTTTAAAAACTCCTTTTCTGATAAGTGTTATTACAGGTGACAGTAAGTATTAGACATGGTGTCTGTATCAAATATTGTTTTTTCTTAATATTTTTTTTAAAAAAGAAAAGTTTAGTGGTGTAGAAAAGAAAGTGGCAGACAATAGGTGTCCTGCACACATCACTAGGTAGCCACACTGACTTATTTGCTTGACATTTGAGCAATGGGCTGTGTTCATTTTATTGTCATCAGTTTCTATAAATCCCACCTATAAAGAGTTAGAGCAGGAGTTCCTAATTTTTTTCACAGCATGGATCACATTATAGTAGAGAATGTAGCCTTGTGGTCTGTCTCATCTCCTACAGGATTACCTAACTAACCCAGCAGTAATTAAAGCAAATATTTCTGTGAAAAATTAGGGAAGTATTTAGTGTATTTCAGATTAATATATTTTAATGTGATTTATCAGCTGGGAAAAAAGGAAAACAGCAGGCACTCCCAGTAATCTATGAATTATAGTTTGAGAACTGCTGATTTAGACTGATTTACCCTGGAAAATACCCATTGTTAACAAATATGATTTAAACTTCAAAATAAGAAGAAGGAGGTAGTTAGCTGCATTAGTCTGAAGTCAGGTAGAAGGCAGGGCAGGGTGACACCTTATGCTGTCAACCAGGATCAGGCAATTTTTTCAGGCGGAAGGCCGCTTACTGAGTTTTGGCAAGCCATCGAGGCCCGCATGACAGGCAGCCAGGGGCAGATAAATATTAATTTTCTACATTTTTCAGGTGCACCGTGGGTTGGATAGAATGGGCTGCTGGGCCACCTCCGGCCTATGGGCCGCATTTTGCCCATCGCTGCCGTAAACAGACATTGTGTTTCTTCTAGGAGAAAGCCTTTTATCATATTTTATTGACTGTGCTGCTTCTGTTTTGATCTAAATCCAAATCTGGGACAGTCAGAACTGCCACAAATAACACATATGTTTACAGCCTCAGAGACTAACATGTACAGAGAAAAATAAGCTTTCATAGTTGGCCAATGTGAGTTGGCCGATGCAATTGCAGAGCCACAGGCCATTATCTTTGAAAACTCATGGCAATGAATCAGGAGAGGTTCTAGACTATTGGAAAAGGTCAAATATAGTGCCCATCTTTAAGAAAAGGAAGAAAGAGGATCCAGGAAACTACAGAATGGTCAGCCTCACCTCAGTCCCTTGGAAAAATCATGGAGCAAGTCCTCAAGGAATCCATTCCTAAGCATTTGGAGGGGAAGATGATTAGGAACAACCACCATGAATTCACCAATGGTGGTTCCAAAGAGGATGGAGCTAGAATGCTCTCAGTGGTGGCAGATAACAGAACAAGGAACTATGGGTGTTTACACATGTGCTCTGGGAGGAAGGGGAGGGTGCTTTAATTAGAAGTCTGAGAGCAGCTATAAGTAAAGTACCTGGATCATCACGTGTATCAGCATCCTTGCAGTGAAAAATGGTGCTGGGAGTGCTTTAGCTAAAGCTCATCAAATGAGTTTTAGTTAAAGCGCCCCCACTGCCATTTTTCAGGAAGGGGGCACTGATACACGTGACACTGGAGTCTGCTGGAGCATGGTAATTACAACACTCTAGCAGACTCAATTAATTGAGTCTGCTCCAACGCACTATAATTACAGCGGGTCGGAGCAGCCTTGATGCATGCGTATAGGTGCCTGGCAGTCTCAAGTTGCAGCAAGGGAATTTTAGGTTAGATATTAGGAAAAGAGTTCTCACTAGGAGGGTAGTAAAGCACTAGAACAGGCTACCCAGGGAGGTTATAGACTCTCCATCCTTAGAGGAGTTTAAGATCTGGCTGGAGAAAGCCTTGGCTGGGATCATCTAGTTGGGGATGGTCCTGTTTTGAGCAGGGGGCTAGACTAGATCCCTTCCAACCCTTGAGGTCCCTTCCAACCCTAATTTTCTATTATTTTATGATAGGCAACAGATAAATAGTCCATGAGCTGTTCACAGCAGCTGATGAAACAGGCTGCTGCCTATAAATGCTTATGCTCCTCTGAATCAGTTGGTCTCTTATATACCACCTTGTCTTGCCTTCTGCCTATAAAATATGGCACATTTTTCTACTTTATGCCATGTTGGATCACAATCACCAATGGTGTATTTGGAAAAGATCTCATGGTTCATCATTCCATTCCTCACACCCAACTTCCTCACTATTAATTCTTTGAAAACTCTAATCATAAATATCTCATAAGGAGATCAAACAAGAAAAATCTAACTCTACACAAGATTTTGAGGATGATCTTTGAAATAATTAATTATGCCATGACATGTTGCATGACATGGAAATGAACAGATGAAAGACAAATATTTCAATAAAAGTGAACAAACCCTGATTTGTGGCAGTGTACTTTTTGGCAATGTTTCCTCTGAGCTGGTAGAAATCAGACTTATTTTATTATATTAAAATGTTAAAATTAAGGCATTCAAATATGAAGGATTTAAAAAACACTAGTTATGATTTATTGTGTTTTGTTTGAACACTTGAATTGCGTTTTATAGAACTGCATAAATCTCTGAAGTTTTGGTATGCAGGAAGTTCTGAAAAATCTAATGAAACTATTTATGTCCAGTTGTCACAAAATATTTTTTTTCAAAACTGGCTAACTAAAAATATGTTGTGGGTTGAATGAAAGATTTTGTGTAACCTATGAATAAATGTATAGCAGTTTAACCACACTACATTTTTATTTGAAAAAAAATTGAAAACATTCTCAATAAAAGCTTGTTGTAAAAAATAAGAATATTTCATATAGAATAAATAAATTATAGAAATAAAAAATTAATAATGTAATATTGTTTTTGGGTTTTTGATAAAACAGAAATTAATTTCTGAAATGCTTCAGTATCACCAAATTCACATTTTTCATTGAATAAAAAGTTAATAGATGAAAAAATATTCTAACTTTAATGCTATAGGTAGAAGAAGATCCCTGTCAGAAGCACTTAATACTTATATATTTGTTAAGACCATTTAATTGGTCTTAGACTCCCTCCAGAAGTGGTGCAGGCACCTACTCTGGACTCATTCAAGAAATGTTTGGATGTTTATCTTGCTGGGATCCTTTGACCCCAGCTGACTTCCTGCCCCTGGGGCAGGGGGCCGGACTTGATGATCTTTGAGGTCCCTTCCAGCTCTAACATCTATGAATCTATGAATTACCAAGTACAGTAGTATATATCCAATGGCAGCCAAAGTCTCCAGCTTCAGAGAATTGTAAAAATATGCTAGTCTAGTGAATTTGCTGTACAGCACTTTAATATGCCTGATTATCGTTAAAGGCCAGTTCTAAGTGAAAGTGCACCTGTTACAATTCAGCTGTCTCCCCACTTGATAGCTGCATCCCATTTAGGTCTTCCCTATTGCATGAAAAGCACGGTGCAATGACAAGCATCTTACCTTGGTGGCCAAAGAATGTAAGGCACCTGCCTCCAAGAGAACTGAGGCTACATCAACTTGCCCCTCTCTAGCAGAAATGTGCAGTGGGGTATATCCATTTGTGGTTGCTGCATCAGGATGAGCCATATGCTGTAGCAGCAGTTGGACGATCTCTGTTTTACCCAAGCGAGAGGCAATATGCAGTGGAGTCTGTTCCTCCTACAACTCAAGTCAAGTTAATAATTAGTCAAGGTAGAATCTGCCTGTATCCCATATTCCAAGTGATTCTAGTAGTAGTTTCTACATGTTTGTTTGTTTTTTAAACAGAACCTAGGGGAATGCTCAGTACCGGTATGCATCTTAACCAATCTGCTATTATAACTAAAGGGGAGAAGCTCAGGGAAAAAGATTGTTTCTCTTTTCATCTTTAAATCTGAACAAAGATTGCTTGCACCATGGCACTGCTCAGCTTTCTTTGCATTCCTACTTTATGACATCCTTATCCACATTTGGTAGTATCTTGCCTGACATGTAGTCCCATTAATTTCTTAAGCTGGCACTCTGGAGGTAATTTCTAACTATTCTGCATTTGTGCTCATTTTTCTTCTTTATCTGGCCTGGCATATCAAGTGCATATTTAAATTCAGGCTGATTACATACAACCCCTTAATGGATTACTGTCACGGAAAAAAAGCCCTTTGATATGTAATAATCCCAGAGGCACTACAATGATAGACTCGCATGCTGTACATCAATAGATCTGGATCCAGCATGTGAGCAGAGGAAGCATAACTTAAATCCTCAGCCTGATAGTGGAACCCTCCCTCTCTCCCCATTGATTTTTTTTTTTCTGAAGTCCACTTTTTCATAAAGGTGGTAGGAAAATTTTTGGTACTGCCACTGGCCAGTGCCTGGAGATGCCCTGTTATACCTCTGTGACAGAGCTGACCAAACAGTAACCAGTACAGAAATGCTCCTGTGTACTTCAAAAAAGAAAGTATTCCCCTTGACATTTTGAAATTTCCTCAATCTCGTCTTTCTTTAAAGCTTCTACTGTGATTTGTGTGAACAATCACCATTTAAAAATCAATATTACAGTCACAGAATCACATGGAAAGCATTTGCCAAAGAAATTGCTATTCCATCATAATAAACAACAGCTCTTGACATAGAATCCAATGGTGCTTGGAGGAGAAAGAGGCCATTGGGTGCCTAGAAATGCAAGGGGCTGCGTGCGTAATGATACTGTCATGTTTAAGCTGGATACCCTGCTACTGAGTTAGAACTCCAGCCACTCCGTTTCTAAATCAGATCTGCTCTATTTGGAAGGATCAAATAACACAGGTAAGCAAGTTATATTACAGGATTATACCGAGACCTATTTGGCTTTGCATCCAGAAATCAGATAATTATGCATCATGGGGGCGGGGGCTATTGCTGCAAGGAAGAAAACCCTCTCTCCTTATTATACTTGTTTATTTCATTGTGTTTATAAGTAAAAGAGAAGGTAGAATAAACTGCATTAGAACACCAGAGTGCCTCAAGGGATGATGAGGTCGAACAGTTATAAACTCCTGCAAGACCATTTCAGGCTGGACATAAGGAAGAATTTCTTTACTGTCCGAGCCCCCAAGGTCTGGAATAGCCTGCCATCAGAGGTGGTTCAAGCACCTACATTGAACACCTTCAAGAGCAAATTGGATGCTTATCTTGCTGGGATCCTATGACCCCAGCTGACTTCCTGCCCTTTGGGTGGGGGGCTGGACTCGATGATCTTCCGAGGTCCCTTCTAGCCCGAATGTCTATGAAATCTATGAAATCTATGAACCTACCCTGGCTCGGGCATCAACAAGGGCACCATTTCTCAGGAGGCAGCGGACCACTTCCACTTGCCCAGCACGTGCAGCCATGTGCAGTGCAGTTTCCCCACGCTGCAAAAAAAGAAAAGATTTTAACATCTTAAGCAAGTAATTTTCAGCTTGTGTAAATTCTATTGACTTCAAAAAGAGCTGATCTGGTGATTCAGGCTCTATAACAGATTCAGAAGCACAAGCCCATACGTCTTGTGGGGGTTAGGCTGTGTATCACTTACTGTTGCAGTGGTTACAAAAATAACATTGCCTAAGGGTGAAATCCTGATTCTCTTGTATATAACAGGAGCTTACTGTGACTTCAGTGCAGTCAGAATTTCACACTCAGAGCCTTACCAAAAAATAAAAAAGGTTAACAATGCCATATTATGCTCCAGCAATGCAGCCAGAGAATATTCAGCTCAAAATTATTTTAAATGGAACTGTGCATGATGGCCCCTCCTAATCAAAAGTATTCACTGGCTTTCCCCATAATGGTGCTTTCAGCTTGTGGTACACCTCAAAATAACCAAGGGGATAAGAGCATCCTGATCCTCAAGAGACTGCTGAACACATGTGCCTCAAGATGGAAGGGGACATTATTCCAGATGGTCTCTTCCTGCATACTGTGTAGAGCTGGCAGCTTCAGACAGGCTTTGCAATGTTTGCGCAAGACTGAGCCAGTATGTGGAGAGTGTTCAAAATCTGCGGTCACCAGCATGGTTTTATCTGCAGGCTGTGCAATGAATCTTATTTAATCATGCCTTATAGCCAGCAGAATTTGAGATGGGCATATAACATTTAGGAAGTTTGAGAATGATATAACACAAGGAGGAGGGTAACAAAGCAAAAAAGTAATGAATATTTACTTTCCTTCTCTATATTTACACAGGAATTTTAAAGCAAAACAGCCCCAAACGATGGAGAGGATGGCTTAATTTCACAGTGCAACACCTTCTTGGAGGACAATTTCATACAACAGACCATGGGAGTCCCTGCTCAGACAATGTCTGAGCCTGCTGTACCAGACGCTGCCATATTGCAAAGAAGAAGATTCTTTGCCTTTTCTATTTTGATAACACAGCAGGATAGATAGCAGCCCAACATTTTTCCTCCTCATGTGAATGCTTTTTGGTGATCGAGTACCTTATTTGCCAGCTGCTTATATAAAGAGGAAGCTCCTGTTTCTACTCTATGGATGGCTACCATTTGTGACCGAGACCCTGTCTAACTAAGCTATATAATTTTTCTAGCACAGGCTTTCCCTCCCTGTCACTTAGAAACTGAGTCTCCACCACTTGATCACATACTATGAGTTTTTGTTGCTTACCGGGAGAGTGAAAAAAGTAACTCAAATCTACCACAGCTTAGGACTTCATCAAACCCTTCTCACTGGGAGTTGATTTAATTAAGCTCATTTTGAAATCTACATCAGATCAGCAGCTGTGGTTAGTAAATGAACAATGAAAAAAAATCTTGCAATCCTTTTACTTAGGGACTTGAATGTGGAACTTGGTCATGTATCTTGCTATAATCTGCTGAATGTCCTGTTTACAAATCTGAATAAACATTTTATTTTCATTCTATTTAGGATGAATTTCTATCAATTCTATACTTGCAGCAATTTGTAAAATGAATACTTTAATAAGTAATATCATTTAGTAATTTGAAGATAATTGGTGATTCAACTAGGAGCGCTTAGCTTATGAAATGAGAAGCTGAGACAACGACCTAGCACAGATAATTGTAAAGTGCTAAATTTGGCATTAAACCATGTAAAACATCTGCATTATCAACTCTACTCCTTTCTTGACTTAGTTTCCTTCACAACATTACTTGGTACTTTACTATAGATACTGTAACTAACTAAGTATCACTTTCACAGTGAAAGTACAAACCAGTGACCATTTTTGTCACGAATAAAATTTGTCTCTACTAAAATAAGAAAATTAGCCCCCAGACTGGCTTGTTTTCTAGAAAAAAAAACCTTGGCCAGCTAGGTGCATATGAATTAATGTTATGGGACATGTCTCTTTATATTTAAAATATTACTTATGGGAAAAGAACAGAAGAACAAGTTAACATTTATCTATATTAAAAGACTCAAACAAACAATAAGATATCCATGTAACAGAAACCCAGGAAACCATCATGATCTGATTTATTCCTGGGTAATGGGATGTTTGATATGCAAACACTAATTTCCATGGCAAGTCAGGGCCTGCATTTAGTGTTGCCTTCCAAAGGTCACATTTTCTATATTAAAAAAAAAAAAATGTTCTGTAGAAATTACATCCATTCTTAATAAAGGAACAGTTCCCTTTAAAGGAACAGTTTTTACTTTAAAAATTTAGGAGAGTAAATTTAAATCTTTATAAGATCTTTGGCTATTTAATGGCACAACTTCACTGAAGTTACCATAACTGTATCTATGTACTTTGGGCCAAAAGGCAAACTCTTCCTTCCAGTGCTCTAATAACCCTGATAGGATCCTTTTTCAAAGGAAACTGTTTACCAGTGCAAGTGCTGTTGAGAAACATGCTAAAGCTATAATACCACAAAACAATTATTGAGCCTGTTCCCTAACCAGCTTTTCCCTTTCACGAACTTTTGACACACATAGGAGGATGTCACAGACTTTCATTCAGTAATACTCACTAAAATATGACCTTTGGTTGGGCTGCATGACAGCTCAGCCCCTTGCTGTGGGAGCTGGCACAGTGATTATTTTAGTCCAAGCCATACTCACAATGTTAGTGACATCTGGAGAGGCTCCATTCTGCAGTAGAAGGAGGACTATGTTCAAGTGGCCCATAAATGCAGCCACATGTATTGGTGTGAGGCCAGACTGCAAAACAAAGCAACAGCAGTTTTACTCCTCTGCACAGGGGGGAGGGGGATTGGGCTTCTTCATTTTAATACAATGTACGTGCAAATGATATGAGAAAGAGGAAGACATTTCTAACACAAAGAAAGAGAAAGAAGGTATGTTTCTGGAAGAGACAAAATACTTTTCTACCTCTGTTATTGCCTGGATTGAAGCCCCATATTTCACCAGGAGTTCCATGACTTTGATGCGGTTTTTCTTGCAGGCAATGTGCAGTGGAGTAAAACCATTCTGTGCAAAAGACAATCATGTTAGTTAAAAACATGCAGCTGCAGTTCCCACACAGCATCATGCTGGTGTACCACAAGCAGAAGCGTTAGAATATCTGATCCCATTGTTCCTCAGACACAGTTGTTACAAGACAGTGGTGAAAAGACTAAGCAATAGTGTTATGTGGACTGCTATAGTCTTAGTAACCCCCACTCCTCAGTTTCCACCCTGGGGAGGAAATGGAAAACTAATCATTGGCATTCTCAATCTGACTGCCAATATTGTAACAGAAAGCATGTTGCAAAAATATTATACCTACTACCAACTAGAGGAAAAAGACGTATATGAAGGTGACATCAAGAGATGAAGGTAACACCTTTGAAAGTGTTTCGCATCTTTCATAACAAACATAGAAGCCTTGTCCTTTACTGACCATTTTTCCTCCAGTAAAATTTCTATTTCTATAAAAAAAGACTTTCAACCTTCTATATTTATCCATATATCAGTCTATATTTTCCATATCTATATCATCATGTACCTGTCCATATATCAGCTTATATTAATGCATTGTAGCTAATATACTTGTAGGTATTTGTATACATGCATACCTATGAGGCCGCTTAAACAACACTTAACTCTGTCTTGTTCCCTTACTATTATTATTCACTACAATGGAAATACTCATGATAGTAACATAAAGAGGCCCTACTATTCAACAAAGCATTTCTTTTTGTCTTTTGGTGCATTACTATTTGATTAAGTACTTAAGCATATCCTCAACTTCAAAAAAGTGTCATTAAATTCAATGAGGTTAAAGCAGAGGCTCAAGTTCTTTGTTGAATACTGATAGGTGCTGTATTGGGTCATCAGCTGAGCAACAAGAGGTAGGAAGATTGGGAGAACCCAATCTTAAGTATACACTTCTTGAAAAACACAATTTTTAAGACAATGTTAGACTGTCACAATTGTTTTTAGTGATAGAGATAAGAATTGCTGACACTGAACAAGAAGTAAAGCTAGTTAATGCCAGTGAAATCTTAGCTCATAAAGAAAGGAGAGACTAGTGATAAAGAACACAGGACTGAAATTCTAGAGGTTATTGTTCAAACCATTTACTTCCTTTACAAATAAAAATATATCTGAGATTTCATATTTTAAAGAGGAGTAATTTTTAAGTCTGTAAAAAAGACTGAAACTGTAAGAAATG